AGTGACATCACTACCTAGCTCTTGATGATGCTCTCCTCAGAGGACAACTTTCAAAATCTGTTACAGTCTCGTAGGATGGACATTGCTCACGGTGGAGGTGCACTTAGCTGGCACACGTTCTCTGCAGCGAACCATTTAGTAGGACCTACTTTCAACCCCTGTTTTACCCTGCCTTCTTAAGTGTTCCCCGAGTACTTGGTTTAATGACTGACTGATGTTAACTATGTAAGCAAAGAGTGAGGCTATTGTTTGCCTGATCTTGTGATCTGAAGATAGAAACCCAGACTTGAGGCTGCTTGGGGGTGGGGTGGGGGAGAATTTGCATTGCTCTGTCAAAATACCTGCCATAAATGATTGAAAGGGAGAAAATGCTCCTCTAGGGTCATGTTTTCAGAGGTGTCCAGTGATGGGGAAGGGGAGGGGGAGATCGCTTAGAGCAATTCGCATAGTGGTGGTCAGAAGCAGAGGAAGAGAGGGAATGCGGCTGAGGTGTAGGCACCGAGTGTGCTCCTACGGTGACCTGCTCCCTTTCATCATCTCTGACAGTGACATCGTATTGTGCATCCTTGAAGGATGAATCCATTCGTTATGTCTCATCCTCTCTGGAAAGGATATCAGAGACATGCCTAGAGGCTCACTTCACTGACCTAGATGCTTCTTTCCCTTTCCCTCCCTCTCTTCCTCTTCCCCTCCTCCTTCCCTCTATCTCCATGAGAGCTCTGTTCCTCCTACCCAGTGTTTTATTTTTATGATACATGATAGCCTTATTTTCACTCTGAATGTGTCCTCAAGCAAAGTTCTTGGACTGTGTAATAAACGGGATGGGAGGTTTCATAGCCCCACTTTTCAAATGAAGAAACAAGGCTGTAAAACAGACAGTACTGCCTGTCTACTCCAGAGCCTCTCATATGCTAGACAAGCACTCTGCTGTTGGCTCCCCACGCCCATAGTATTCCCCAGCCATTTCATACGGTGTTCATGAATGCCTGGACTGTAGTGATAGATCAGCTACATTTCAGTATCTTCCTATATCTTCCTTGGCAAGCACTTGCCCATTTACTTTGCAGAGCAAATAAAGAGAGGAACTCAGTAATTGTGAATAGAAGCTAAGGTGTACAGCTGAGTGGAATAAGCTTTGCTGTCTAGGAGATGTACACGGAGAACTTAAGTCAATGCAGATTCTTAGGTATTCGATGGATTAGTTTAATAAAGCACCCCGCTTGTATTAGGTAAAGGGCTTTGGTTGTTTATGTTTTTAAGACATATCAGTCTAAAAGGAAATCTTTGGCTGTTGAAATAGGAGAGCGAAGAATTTGGAGGTTAATTGAAAGTTTGTTCCAGTGCCAGTTTGACACTTCACTGTTGTTTCTAGTTCCTGGATCTACAGTCACGATAACAAGCATTTAGGATGCCCACCGCTGTGTTCCAGGCATCGTGGTAGTCGATGGACCACCTGAAATCATCACCCCACCTTGTCAGGGTGGCCTCTTGTATCACCAGATCAAAAAAAATTCAGTGGGAACCCTTCAGCTGAGAAGAAATGATGAGCGATGGATGGATTAAGCAAGCCTAATTAACCCAACATATTAGGAAATGAGTTATGGAATGTTTGGATCAAGAAAGCCCCATTGAACTGGATCGCGCTAGAAGAAATCTTTGCTAGTCTAAATAACAGCGATCATTTGGAAAAGCCTCATCAAAGTTGTTTTCAGTCTGAGAGCTGTAATGGAACACTCGAAGGCCCCGCCCCCCTTACCCTGACTAGGAAAGTGATTTCATATTGAGCTGAAGAATGCCTCAGAGCTCTCCAAGAAACCATGGCTGTGGAAGGAGTCTGGCGTGCTGACTTTTCAGTTCTAGTTTTCTGCACAAAAGAACAACTTTTAATGTTGGGAGAAGAGAAAGGAGAGTTACACAGTTTCAGCCAGATGTTTTTGTTTTTCTATTCGTTAACATTCTGCATTTGATTCTGTTGACTGTCCGCTCTTCGTGAGCTTACTGTCTGGCACCCTCTCTTGTCTGCTCCAATGCCGACCTGAGATTCTTTGTGCCATGACTTTTCCCGCACCAAGGTCCTGAGACCCAGCTTTTTAATAGCCCCTGAAGTTACATTCCATGTCCCTCTGCCTTTGTTCCCAGGCCCTCTCATCTGAAGCACTTTCTATCTCCTGCCTTGCACGCACAGACTCGGGATAGCTCTGTGTTGCCTCTCCTTCAATATTCAATCCAAACCCCTCTTTCTCTAGGGAGATCCCTTTGATCAGCACAGTTGGAAAGTGCCTCACCTCTCTTTGAACTGAGGAGGATCGCATATGGCTCTTATCATTGTCGACTTTGTATTATAACTCTGTGGACTCCATCAGAGACAACATTTAACACCCTGGAACTGAAGAGTTGAACTGATTTCTCTCTGGGTCTTAAAATCATAGTGTCTTCTATTATGTGTGAGTGAAGGAATAATATGACCAACAGAAATTGATATTCATGTGAATAAATTCAAATGGGGAGTCTAAATAGGATAGTGAGGTTTAAAATATTTTGGGAAGGGGCTTCCTTTATAGAATGCTTTTTAAGTCTAATAGCCCTTAGAGGCTCTTCTGAATGGTTGTAAGACTGGATTGGCTTCTCCTGGAGCAGTGTGTTCTCAGCCTTCCTAATGCTGTGACCCTTTAATATATTTCCTCATGTGGTGGTTATGCTTCCTCATAACTATAGTTCTGCCACTCTTATGAATTATAATATAAACATTTCATATGCAGGATATCTGATATGTGACCCTCTAAAGTGGTCGTGACCCAGTGGTTGAGAACCACTGTCCTACGGCCCCTGACTTCTTCATCAACTGTTAGACCAAGTAGGTAACTGTTTAAGATGTTTGCTCCTCATTTTCCCCATTGTCCTCTCCTGTCTCACCATGCCCTCCATGTTCAGATGGCACCAGGCGGTGCCATATATCAACTTCTCTGTTTTTGGAAATAAAACAAAAATGTTCTCTTGGGGACTCTGGTACTTGTTCATTCCTTGGGAGTTTAGGTCCACTTGTGTGATTTAGCTTTTATTTGCATAAGTTGTCAGCTTTGTGAGGGTTAGTGTGTTTCAATTTACCACAGTTCCCTGGAACCCTGACTGCGCTCGAAGCCAGCCACACCTGGCCAGGGCACGCTTATACAGTAAATCACGTCTGTCTACATACGCTATTGCAATATTTTCGTCTCATCTTTTGTGTGTTTGCTAATGTCAGATTTTCCCCTGATACGATACTTTATAAGACATGGAGTATTCCTCTCGCTGTCATCTCTTAGCATCAAGCAGATTAGAACATCAGCTGCTTCCTTTAGTTTGACCAGTGCAATGTAGTCTTTTCACTGGCTAGATCAGTAATAAGATGTCATTTTCAATATGGCCAAGTAACTGTTTAACTTTGAGGAGGGGCGGGGTTTCAAGGCAGGGTTTCCCTGCGTAGCGTTGGAGCTTTTCCTGGCTCTCGCTCTGTAGACCATGTGGCCTCTAACTCAGAGATTCACCTGCTTCTGCCTCCCGAGAGCTGGGATAAAGGGTGTGTGTCACCACCGCCTTTTTTTTTTTTTAACATTTTTAAGCCTGCAACGAAGTAGGATTTGAGTGGAGTATGAAGAATTTAGTGATTCTGTGCTAGAGATATACAAATTTTCCTCCCTCCCATCCTCCCTCTCTTCCTCCTTTTTTTTAATTAATTAATTTATTTATTAAAGATTTCTGTCTCTTCCCCACCGCCGCCTCCCCTTTCCCTCCCCCTCCCCCAATCAAGTCCCCCTTCCTCGTCAGCCCAAAAAGCAATCAGGGTTCTCTGCCCTGTGGGAAGTCCAAGGACCACCCACTTCCATCCAGGTCTAGTAAGGTGAGCATCCATGAAACTGCCTAGGCTCCCACGAAACCAATAGGTCCAGTAGAATCAAAAACCCGTTGCCATTGTTCTTGAGGTCTCAGTAGTCCTCCTTGTCCGCTATGTTCAGCGAGACCAGTTTTGACCCAGGCTTTCTTCCTCCTTCTTTCACCATGTATCCCTGGCTGGCCTCTTAACTCAGAGATCTACCTGTCTCTGCTGCTGGAGTACTGGGATTAAAGGCAAGTGCCACAGAGTTTGAACTCACAGAGATCCGCCTGCCTCTGCCTCCTGAGTGCTGGATTAAAGGCGTGCGCCATCGCCATCCATCTTAAACATAAAATACACAACCTTTGTTCAGCTGCTCGGGTCCACACAGCCCCCTTCAGAACTTCTCTTCCTAAGTTTGAACCTTTTCTCTTTCAGTCTTTGACATTAGCTTTGATCATCTTGAGGCACGTGTGCATGCTAGTGTGTGTATGCACATGTATATGTGTGCATATGTGTTCCTATGTTTGTGTGTGTATGTGTGTAGTTTGGGATCTTCAATTTGGAGGTCATTTTAGGAACCTAGTAATGATAACATGCATGCATGTTTACATGCTCTCATAACTGTTCCCATATTCCATCCACCCTTTCAGCAATTAACTCATTACTCCTTTTCGAAAGAAATTAGTTTTTTCCAGCCTTGGCTCAAATATGGCCATTTCTAAGGGTAACATATTCCACAGTGAAGGGTTTGTTAACATTGAAGATATCTCAAAGAATTCACTAGAAATACACAGAACATCTGAAAAGCAATGTGCAAAGCATGGTCCTTTGGGTGACGGCTGCATAGCCTGCAGGGGAAGCAGCCCACCCTCTAGATTTTGGGGGACATGGATTCAGGTTCACTGTGTCACTCCCTAGCTGTGTTATCAAAGAGAATACTGCTTTCCCTTCCACCCCCAGTGTGGTTTCTTCCTGTGCAAAGAGATCACATGATCTGTGAAGATGAGATACTATCAGCCCATGCTAGTTATTATTAGCAAAGCCACATTCTTGCTGAGGTGTGTTTGGTCACGACTAATGGCATGACTGTGGTTCATGCGGCTGACTGCGGTAGTCCTTCATACTGTTTCTGCTGTGTTTCTTGCAGGAGCGATTCCAGGTGAAGAACCCTCCCCATACGTACATCCAGAAGCTCAAAGGCTACCTGGATCCAGCTGTAACCAGGAAGGTAAGGTGGATGTGTTTCCGCTCTCGGCTGTTGTTGCTTCTTGAGTGGGCAGAGTCTTGCATCAGACTTTCTTTTTGCCAGCGCTCTAGGCAAACAAGCGCTGGAGACCATCAACAGGAGAGGACAAAGGGGAAAGATAGTCTTCAACGAGTCCCTCTGGTGGTTACTGATGTTGTCAGTTCCCACTGCTCAGAGTAGTGAGTCCAGGCCTGAGGTGCTTAGGCCTCTAGCAAAGCAGACTTTGCAAATGCAATGCTTGTCCTTCATGACGTAAAACACTTCTAGAACCCCGAAAAATCACTGCGGCTGTCCTCCCCAGCTGCATACTGACATCCTGTGCTGGTGTTTCAAACTGCTTCCTCTGCCCTGGCCGAGCGAGCCCCAGCCCCAACCCCAGCCTCAGTCCCAGCCCCAACCTCAGTCCCAGCCCCAGCCTCAGTCCCAGTCCCAGCCTCAGCCCCAGCCCCACCCTCAGGCTCAGCACCAGCTTCAGGCTCAACCCCAGCCCAGCTCCTGGCCTTAGGAAGGTAAAGAGGGAATAGCTGATTTCATTCTTAACCATCTCTCCTTTTACAAACAAGCCCTGCTTTGTGCAGATGCACAATTGGCCTAAGCTGATGCCTTGTGGTTAAGCATGTCGCCTGGCACAGCCCCGCAGGCTGGGTCAGCCCTGAGCTGGCTCAGGGCAGAGCTGTCCTTGATGACTATGGGTAAAGACACTTTGTAACAGATAGCGCTTGTCTTCCCCTTGATCCACAACAACTCTGGCGTTCAAGGCTTCTCAAGCTGAATTGCCTGTGTTGTATCAGTGCCGATCCCCGAGAAAAGAAAAGAAAAGCAGGCTTCTCTTTGTCAGGTGTTTCTAGTGATGTTGGCTTACTCTCTCCTTCCTTGACCCTCTCTCTACCCACTCTGCCCTCCTCCTTCTAGCTTTTTTCTCTCTTTTCTTTGTTATTTTGTTCTAATTCTTTAGAGCTCATATTGCCGCTTCCAAACTCCTCCAACTCCCCCCCCCCCAAAAAAAAAAAAAGAGAAATGTCCTGCAAAAAAGCATAGCTCCTATTTTCTCTGGAGGGTTCTTGAGACTGAGCCTTTGTCCTCTGGTTTATTTACAGGCAAGAGGGATTTAAACAATAGAAATCATGCTCGAACTTTGCTATCCTGGCACTAGAGAGATGGCTCAGCAGTTCAGACTTGTTGCTCCTTTAGAGGACCTGAGTTCAGTCCCAGCACATACTTGGTGACTCATACCCATCTGTAACTCTAGTTCTAAGACATCCAACGCCTCTTCTTACCTCTGGGGGGACACTAGGAATGTATGTGGTGCACATGCCTTCAAGCAGACAAAACATTCATATGCATAAGATAAATTTTTGTTTAAAGAAAACAGAGAACCACACTTTGTTTCCATGCCATACAATTCTTGAATGTCCCGTGGTTTCCCACATCTTCTGTCAATGTGCCTGCTTGTAATTTGATGGCCATTTGTAAAAAGGTCTGCATTCAACTCCCCCTGCCTTCGAAAAGTAATAACTGTTTAGTTCTTTTTAGTTTCTCTGACTTATCTCTTGACCTGAGCATAGAGCAGCCTTAATTTTATAGGTTGGGAAATGCCTCTCACACAAAATATAAATCCCATTTTTTAAAAAGCAGTTTTGGCTATGCTATTTGTTTCTGTGAGGGTTCTACTGGTTCTTTAGAAACCCCCAGACCTGAGATGATGAACGAGTGCTGTGCTTGTTCTGAGCTGAGGGGGTGTGTGTGTGTGAAGTGGCAGCGATTATATACAGACTGAGGAATCTCTTCCTTCATGCACCGTACAGCTCATTCTAGAAACAGTCCCTCATTCTAGAAAGAAAGCATGCGATACATATCTAGAAAAGGCTGCCTGGGCTCCCAGCCCTACACCCTCAGGAGGAGACAAAGCAAACCAAGCAGAAGAAACCAGGGATCCTCTTGTTAAACAGTTCCTCCTTTGGGGATCATTTAATAAAGAGGAGTAGGCCTGGTGGCAGTCGTGTGGACGGCTGATTTCTCTGTCCTCACCCATGTGTCCACCTGAATGTCCTTGTTTTGTCTGTGCCCTGTTCAATCTACACAGCTGTCACCTGCATGCTGTCTGTCCAGAGATGTCTCCGTGAGTTAATCTTCATGATCTTGAGCCCCCTTTGCTCATGTAATTCCTCCTCCTTCTCTTCATCTGGACTCTCTATGTCTGCCCAGTGCTTGGCTGTATTTCCATCAATTTTGGATGAAGGTTCTATGATGGCATTAGGGAAGTCACCGATCTGATTAGAGGTGAAGGCCAGTTCAGGTACCCTCTCCAGGATTGTTAGTAGTCTTAGTTGAGGTCATCGATGTGGGTTCATGGGAATTTTCTTAGCACCAGGTTTCTCCTTTACTGCATAATGGCTCCTTCTGTCAAGATATAAACATAAAGCAAAGAAATCCAGCCCACAAATCACAGTCCCAGAGAACCTAGACAACAATGAGGACCCTCAGAGAGACATACATGGATCTAATCAACATGGGTAGTAGAAAAAGACAAGATCTCCTGAGTAAATTGGGAGCATGGTGACCTTGGGAGAGAGTTGAAGGGGAGGGAGACGCAGGGAGGGGAGCAGAGAAAAATGTAGAGCTCAATAAAAATCAATAAAAAAAAAATCTCTTTGGGCTAGATGGTGGTGGCTCTGGACTGTGGTGGCGCATGCATTTAATCCTAGCACTTGGGAGGCAGAGGTAGACAGATCTCTGTGTCTGTGCCCTGTCTTTCAAGGTCTGCCTTTCAGCTCAGGAGAAATGAACTGGGTAGGATTAGCACCCCAACCTCCTGCTGTAGTAAAATTTCTGTCAGGAGCTGGGAGCAGGAAAAGATCTGTTCCATACAACCTAATTGCAATGCTTAAGCCCCAGAAAAAAAAGGAGATTTGTTTGAAATAAGGCATGACTTTCAGTTAAAATGAGCTTAAAATTCTCAGCTGTGGTCTGGGGTTGGGGAGTGTTCCAGTCAGGCCTTTACATTTTAGCCAGACTGTCTAGGCTGAGTGGGGCTTCCTTTAACTGTTGTCAGGGTCCTCAAATAGTTTATTCATTAATCTTTTGTTCAAATTAAGTAGGAGATACTTAATTTGCCCTTAAAAAATTAAAAAAAAAAAGCCTCCAAGCACATTCGGTTTAGAAATAGCTTTAAATGACACCCCCTAGGACAGGGAAGGAAGCGTCTCAATTAGGTATCTCTGAGCCCGGAGCTCCTTAAACCAGCCTCCTAATTTTATACCAACTGTTATTAGCCTGTGCCTCGGGGGAGGCTGTGTTCATGTCTGCGTGGAAAGAGGTTACAGATCCTGAAGAAAGGCGTCTTGATCCTTTGCCGGCTCTACATTTGTGAGGAGAAACCTATGGCGTGGCTCACCCAGTCTCAGCTGCCTCCCTGGGCTATAGCTGGCTGTCCTGTACCTGCCAGGAAAGAGAGAGGATGCAGACTGCTTGGTGGTGGATCCTCTGTGGCTCTTGCATTCCCGCTGGGCCCTATAGGTTCAAGGTTTCTCTTGAAAGAGCTTTAAAGTCTTGTGGATGCATTTCGGACTTGCAGAATATTAACATGCACAGTTTATGTCTCAGCAAAGAGGATGCTAAGGCTTCCTCTGCCTTCCAAAATCCAAACAAAAATTGAGCCGCTCAACAAGGGTGAAGTCAGCTTCGTTTGTCACAGTGTTAGACATTATTACAGTGCCCAGCATAGCCGATGTCTGATGAACGAACGCTAGCTGCTGCTTGCTGCTCTAGCTCAGCATTTGACTTACTTGCCTTGTTAGGCTGTGTGTCTGTCTGTATGTGTGTATGTAGCATCCGTAACAGTCCACTTCTCTCTCTCCCCCTCTGCCTCTCTCCCTCTCCCCCTCTCTCCCTTTCCCTTCTCTCCCTCCTCTTCCCCCTCTCTCTACCTCTCTCCCTTCCTCCTTCTCTCCCTTCTCATGCCCTTTAGTCAGACATCTTTACTACTGTGCTGTTTTCAGTAGTATGCCTGTGTTCTTTGTAGAAGATCATGGGGGGGGGGTAGGGATGACTTCTTCAACTTGAGGAAGACTTCAGGACCAGCAGGGACTGCTGAGAACCTGTCTGGCATGTCTTAACAAGAAGCATGGACCATTGGTACCTTTAGTCAGTCCCCTGTCCCACTCTTTCTTTCCTGCCTAATCCCATGCCTAGTACACTCATTGCAGGGAGGTGTTCTAGGATAACATCAATGGCCTTGCTGTTGGTTAGGGCTTTCTCAGCAGCAGAAGCAGAACATCTTTTTTTTTTCTTTATATTTGAAATATTTTTATTTCCTATATCTCATTGGATATTGGTCACAAAACGCCAAGAAGATTTTTTTTTTTTAATAGTGTTTGGGGCAACAGTTATAGCAACTGCAAAATGCCAGGGACTTTGAGAAGAGGAGAAGGGGCCGCAGGAGGCTGCCTGTGTCAGGCAGTGTTACAGATCTCTTTGGGCTGCTGATTCTCATGCCTGTGGCATAGCTCTCACAACCAACCCTCAGTTGGGAATCACGCTACCAACCTTTCCTTCATGCCCCTGGGTGTTGTTCCTCTGGAGAACCGCAGCCTTGCTTAGTAGCCTGGAAGTGGAGGCCTCTGTTCTTGTTGCACTTGGTGGCAGCAGAGGACAAGGGTCCTTCATATCCTGAGCTGGAATTTACAAAGCTTTTCCCAGACAGCAAAGAAGCTTGAGGGGGGCGGACTGCAGCACAGAGAGCCTGGATCTCTTGAAAGAAGGCATTACACCTCAAATTTCCTTCTTTCAGAGTGGCCTGATAGGAAAAAATCTCCAGAGAACTGATGGGCATAGCAGTCCCATTTGAATGTGGAAGACTCCTTAGATTTAAAAGCATGTATACACTCACCATCATGACAGGAGTCAATAAAGAAAAGACTAGAAGTCTAGAAAGACAGGTAGGCTCTTGATCGGCAAGAGTGCAGAAGGGCTTCCTGGATGTGTGCATGTGCACATGAACCTTCATTACTGACCTTCCATGTGAAGACTAGTTGGAAGGGCTAACTCTGAAGGTTTGTGTTTTGAACATTTAAGTCAGGCTGAGAAGAATCAACTTGAGACTGGTAGGCCCAGGACTGCTGTCTTTAGAAGGGCCAACTTAACAAATTGGCCATCAGGGATCATTTGTATTCTCTGTAAAAAGCTAACTGTGCCTCAATCGTTTATGAAAACAACATGGTTTATGCTGTGTTTTATTGCTGGAATCTGGACTTGCTGCCTGAGTGAGGCAGAGTGTGTTAATGAGGTCAGCCCCTAATGAAAACCCCGGCCCCCAAGTCTGTGTTGAGTTTCATGTCTGCTTGGGCAAGCGCACTCCTAAATGCATGTCTGGTTTCCTATACACTCACATCATCGTATGCACCTCTTCCTTTTATTGGTTTTGCCATTTAATGTTTCATTTCAATACATCACGGGTGTGAGTGTGTCTCGCTCGAGTCTGTTCATCCTCGTGAATCATTGAAACTGGCGATGGTTTGGGGTTCTTGAACAAGAGGTCTAACTATGGTATATGTGGGGTAGGGAATATAGTTAACTCTAGGAGGGTACAGGAAATAAACATTCTGGTTCTTTCTTGTAAGTTAATTTTTTTTATGATCAAAATTTGTGTGCTTTTGAATAAAACAAAAGAAACGTGAGAAATACACTTTAGAAGAAAAGGTATTTTCATATTGCATCAAATTTATTATAAACTACAGGAGCACCAGGTACTAAAGGTCATATTTTGTTGAATTATAGAAATTCAGGAGGCGTGTTCAAGAATCTACGCAAGTGCTAAGAGAACTGGAAATCTCATTAAGAACCAACCACATTGGGTAAGTGTGCCCCTGCAACATGTTAGCACTCAGATTTTATGTTAGAAAGTGAATGAATCATAGCCAAGAATTGTGCTTCTCTATTTACTGAAAGACCAAGGTTTAGATGAGGGGGTTTAATCCCCTGATCGCTGATTATAAGGATCAAGAGGGGCAGACTTGGGTATTCGTAGCAACTCTGTATTTACTTGCTTGGATGAAGTAAATATGGACAGTTCTTGGCAAGTGCTTGGCTTTCTGTATGTGTGACTCTGAACATCCTGTCTGTTCTGACAGCTGAGGAACATTTAAGAATGGTGTAAACTGAGACTTGAACTCTCAGCCTTCAGCCCGCTTAGTTGAAGCTGCTCTCCCTTTCCTTGATTTCTTTCCATTGACAACAGAATGGAAGCCGGGGTGGTGTTGTGCTGTCTTTGCATTTGAGACAAGTTTTGAGTCTCTTTCTTACTTGTTAAACATTTGAGACCATGCAGTATTCCAGCAGGGAAAATGAAGTTCATAGCATCCCTGCAATAGACATTTCTGACAGTTCCTTTTCAGCATCAATATGGTTGCTTCGCCTCAGGCAAATGCAGTTTGTTTATATTTCCCCTAATTCTTGGGATGGCATAACAAATAGGACCTTTGAGTAACGTAGTTTATCTTCAAATCATCCTGGATGATACTGGATACCTTATTTTGTAATCTTGGTTCTTCAGAAAGTATCAATCTTTTCTCATAGGCAAATCTTTCTCTGGTTGGCCTTGAACTCACTATGTAGCTAGGCTTTGGGCTCAGAGCAATCATCCTGTGTTAGCCTGTCACATAGGAATATAGACGTGAGCAAAGTATAATAAAACATTGGTAAATTATTTATATTTTCTGGATTTTGACTTTGTGTATTTACCGAGAGAGAGAGAGAGAGAGAGAGAGAGAGAGAGAGAGAGAGAGAGAGAGAGAAAGAGAGAGAGGGGACTGAAGACTATAGGCTTCAATACTTTTCAAATGTTTCCTCATGACGTTTCTTGCAGATCTGTTGAAGTGAAATTATATATCAATAGCATACTCTATTGAGTATACTGCTCTCCTGAGTATTCTGTAGAATAGATGTGTGACATACAAAGCAATCTACTTCTGTTTTATACTGAGTGATATAAGCTATTTCGATGTTTAATCAGCACAGTTGCTTCAGATTTTTATTTAAAGTAGGAAATGGTATTGCAGGGTCCTGTTGGGAGACTTGAGGTAGAATGCCCATTTCTTAAAGGCTACATTGCCATACTTGTCTCCTTGAGAACGGAATCTTCACAAAATTAACGGATTCTTGGTTTTGTCTCCAAAAATGAACTATAGAAAAACACATTATAAAATCATGATTTTGTAACTTGGAAAATATTGTCTAAGCTCATTTTCAAGACTCAAAGAATTAAGGCTCGGAGATGGTTGTGTGATTGCAGTGTCTACAGCTATCTGCCCAGTATGTTGGCTCAAAAATCCTTCGTTCTTTTTTTTTCTGCATTGCTTTTTCTAGCAGCCCTTTCTGAAAGAATTAAGGCAGTCAGGGCTCTGGGGTTAAAGCAGCAAGGCTTGTCTGCCTCAAGATGAAGGCAGTGGTAGTTTAATACAATGGGGCCCCTTAACCTAGGAAATTAAATAGCTTCTGCTACTTAGGAAGCAGGAACCATAGTCTGTTTGATAACGGCCCAGTTCTATGCCTTGGCAGTTCTCAACTGAAAATGGTGGAGTAATTTACAGGCAGGATTTCTGCAAACTGGTGAAAAGCGTATCTTCAGGCACTGCTGGGATGATGTGAAAGGCCCCCAGGTCCTAAAGCAGACGTTCATTTCTAATATAAAGTAGGAGGAATAGATGAGCCTGCGAGCAGCTGGAGGGACTGGTGGGCGGTGCTACAATAGGCATGTCCTCACCAGCTGAGATTCCCCTCTTGCCCAGTACTTATGTGAGACCCCGGGGAAAGCGGCTATAGCTGCAGAAGAATCCAGGGCTGCGTTGTCTGTATGCAGATGACTAGTGCACGTGCTCACGTGGAAGGGAACCACTCAAGGATTCTGACTTTCTCTCGCCTGCCTTGAAGACTCAAATCTGAACCAGGCTTTTCCAGCTTACTTGGCCTGACCTCATTTGATAGGAACAAATTCTGAAGAATTACTAGCTTGTGAACTTATCATCAATTACTACCATGAGGAATCTCTGTATGCTGTGATGGACAGGTCATTTTTGTACTCTGGGTAAAATAATAGAAAGATAATTGGGCACATGTTTGTATGATGAAGAGAACGTAGTGCACGCCTTTGCCATGACCGTTTTTTGTTAATTTCATCTTTGATAAGTTTAAATTACACAAGCTCTCTGCACGTACTATATGACCTAAATTAATCTTTCTTGTTAAATGAGAGTAGCAATGCATAACTCGTAGGGATGAAATGCTTACTGTAGGGTCTGATGCATGATACTCAACATACAACAACTATTTATTTATTTGTTTGTTTGTTTATTTATTTATTTATTTTGGTTTTTCGAGACAGGGTTTCTCTGTGGCTTTGGAGCCTGTCCTGGAACTAGCTCTGTAGACCAGGCTGGCCTTGAACTCACAGAGATCCGCCTGCCTCTGCCTCCCGAGTGCTGNGAACTCACAGAGATCCGCCTGCCTCTGCCTCCCGAGTGCTGGGATTAAAGGTGTGCGCCACCATCGCCCGACTATTTTATTTTTTGTATTTAATTTTCTTAGGCTCACTGAGGAAAATATCTACAAATTAACAGCAGTATATATAACATATTCTTAAGGTGTAGAATGTAATTTTTGTCTACCTAAAGTGACCTGGGCACTTAGGAGATTTTGATTTCCAGAAATTAAAAGCTGAAATTCCACTTGAAATCCATTTGTCCTGAAAAAAATTATTCTTGGCACCTGCATGGGCTTCAAGGTTAGGGTAGTGAGTGGGCTTTGCTGAGGTAGCGGTCTCAGCTGCAGCTGTCGTGAAGGGTTTCTTCTGAGCTCTGAGATAAACCTAAAACTCCATAAATGGAGCAATCTTTTGAGAAAGAAAATTAATTTTTGAGCGGTGTCGAATAAGACTCTTGACTGGGAATAATCCCATTCACTTACTGTTAGGAGCTATAGCATTGGAGAAGAATTGGATTATGACTTATCCAAACCCCTGAAATTACTTGAAATGCCCTTGAAAAAGAACTGAGTATCATTACAGCGCCCTGGCAAGCGATCTGAGTGGGCAGAAGCCAAATTGCGTCAGATGTCTGGGCAGCGGCTGTGGTGGTGAGGGGTCCGCTGGAGAGATTTGCTAGTTTTACTCCACTGAACTGTGGTGTAGGCGATTTATTTTAATCCCATCGCCTCTAATGATGGAAAATTGCTTTTCAGTCTGAATGCAAGGCCACAGATGTTCTAAAAGATGTTCACTTCACTTGTGGTTGGTTGAGAAGACAGGCATGAAGATTGTGGCAAACTGGCCAGGGGTTGGGGAAGTATGCAGAAAAGAGAAGGCCCCGAGAAACTGCCTAGACTGTCAGGATTTCTGTGGGCCAGTGATGGCTGGAGCTGGACCTGGTCAAAGAAGAAAGAGAAGAGAGTGGCCAGCGTTTTTCTAAGATGTTTACAAATTGTGTGTGTGTGTGTGTGTGTGTGTGTGTGTGTGTGTGTGTGTGTTGGCATTTGTTAGGCACTTTAATTGTGTTTCTTCACATAAAAATGTTTGGGTTATTGCTCTGTACCCTGAGCCACTGTTATGTATAAGGGAAGGTTGACGGTCGGCTGCCAAATTGTTTTATTCCACTCTATGCCAGTTAGAAACACTGAGACTTGAACTATGATTTGTCTACATCTAAAGCTTATTGCCCACACTAACAGTTCCCATGCTTTTTGACATTCTGAACGCCTTCATTCTAGCTAATTGTTTTTTTAATTTTTATTTATTAAGATTTCTGCTTCTTCCCCGCCACTGCCTCCCATTTCCCTCCCCCTCCCCCAATCAAGTCCCCCTCCCTCGTCAGCCCAAAGAGCAATCAAGTTTCCCTGCCCTGTGGGAAGTTCAAGGACCACCCACCTCCATCCAGGTCTAGTAAGGTGAGCATCCAAACTGCCTAGGCTTATCGAATAGAAGACCCTGACATTAACCCACAAACCTATGAACACCTGATTTTCGATAAAGGAGCTAAAAGTATACAATGGAAAAAAGAGAGCATCTTCAACAAATTGTGCTGGCAGAACTGGATGTCAACCTGTAGAAGAATGAAAATAGACCCATATCTATCACCATGCACAAAACTCAAGTCCAAATGGATTAAAGACCTCAATATCAGTCCAAACACAATGAACCTGATAGAAGAGAAAGTGGGTGGGAAGTACTCTACAACACATTGGTACAGGAGACCACTTCCTACGTGTAACCCCGGCAGCACAGACATTAAGGGCCTCATTGAATAAATGGGACCTCCTGAGACTGAGAAGCTTCTGTGTAGCTAATTGTTTTGAACTCCAACAAATTGTTGTTGCTTATATGAATTGAACCTAGTAACGTTTGCCATGTTAAAAATTAAAATTGACAAATTTTAAGTTTATTTAATATGTAATATTTATTAGCAAACTTTGATATTTAAACATATCCACTACTGTGAATATTAGCACGAATAACTTTTTGTAAACTGTAACTAACAAAACAGCAAAAAGTCCCTGTAAATAATAGTGTTATTTCCTCAAAAAACTCTTGAGAATCTTCTTTCCTATCTTTGTAATAGCAGGCAGCTGAGTTTTCCTGACCCTGTGTCAGTTTGGTTTGGTATTTATTTCTGTTTGGTGTTGATGAGAACATTTGGAAAACAGGAGTTTCTAAGTGGCCTTTTCAGGTAATTGTGGAGATTCTTCTGGCAGTACACTAAGATTCTCTGCACAATGTCCAGAGGCGCTAACGCCTGCTGTCTTCTGTTCAAATCTATTGTGCTTTCTTATGCACTGAGGTGATGTTTTTCACCGGAGCATGAGTCCTGACCTGATCATTTGTAAAGCCGGCTTACTGAGGTACTCTGCTCTTCCAATGTGTCATTCTAGAGCGTTTTTAAAAAAATCATTTTTGTTAATAACCATTGCTGCCATCGGGATACATTTTTAGTTAACATAAAGCTATCAAATTAATATAAACAAACATTTCCTAAATTCTTAATTTTTATTGAAGCTGAATATTGATCATTAGTGACAAATACTGCCTGTTTCCCCCAAATCAGCAGGCCAGCTTCATGAATTTTGGAGGAAATGTCTTTCAAATACCCAAAATGTTATCATAGTTTGTAAGTCATTTTTACAAGTGAATTGACCGCCTGTGGAGAAATGGCTCCATCCTTGGCCCTCCCGAGACTGTCCAGGGGCATGAGTGGGCAGCAGGTGTTTTTCTGTGGCTGTGGATTTCTCAGGAAGAAAACGAGAAAGATGTGTGCTTGAGCATCGAGCGGTAACAGATCTCCTGACTGTTCTTCCGTGGGAATGCCCTTTTCCCCGTCATGGCAGAGTGTGAGGAATGTGGTAAACAGATCTCTGTTTTGTTCTCAGCGGTTTTCCCAGGTCTCTTTCACAGGTCAGGTTCAGCAAAGGTGTGACTTTGTTTAGGTGTTGACAGTTTAAACCCAAGGCTTTCCACGTGTCAAGTCTAGAAACTTTTAGGAAATGAGATCAACCCTAGAGGTATGCTGAGAGACCTTCAAGGACTCCTGGCCGTGATGGGGTACACTTTGAGAACTGGATCTCTGCGCTGTTCAGTAATGGCTTAGGCTATGGGTGATGCTGGCTTTTCTCCCCGCACCCCAAATTTTTCAGCATCTTTTATTCCAGCTCTCCACCCAATGGTCAGACTTTCTCTACAGGAGCCTGCAAAGGCGTAACACCTGTCCCTTCTTCCTTTCGTGTGTCTTGCCATCTTGCTTGTCCTTGGGACACCAGGAGGGTTTTTAAGACTTAATTTTCTGTGTGAAGAAATTCGGCTCTGAGACTTTGTGAGGCAGGGAGAATAAAACTCTGAAACCACATTGTGAGCGGCCTGCATTTCAGTACTGACTTGTTTGTATTTGCCCGCAAAGCCCTTTCTTTGGATACAATTTTTGTTTTTATTCCAGAACTTTTTCTCATTATCCCTGTCTCTCCAAGCTTCCAAGAATCTGATTTGGAATTTGTCTAAATTCAAATTTATAACATATGGTAATCACATTTGAGTTTGCAAGGCACTCAGGAAGTAATCCATGCTGTCAGAGTCAGAAATAATTCTGTTTTCCAAAACTTATAATCACCCAATTTGAAACTGTTTGCCCATTGGCAGCACATGAAACAGTCCAGAGCAGGCCCGGAGAGAGGAGGGAGCTCTGCAGCTGTGACGTACTCACTGTGTGATCAGACATGTGTGTTTACAGCGTGGAGTGCCCCCCTCCCGTTATTTCTATCCTTTGTGTGTATGGGGGCAGGGTTGTGTGGGAGACAAGTGTTTCTTTGTTTTATTGTGTGTGTCCCATGCATTGAATTCAGGTTGTCAGGCTTGGGGGCAATACCTGTTGAGCCAAGACTCTGTTCCCCATGTTCCTTTCAGTCCCTGAGCTTTGAGACACTTCCTTCGTTTGTCTTCTGACATCTTTACCCGTTTTCTTTCCTTAGTCTCACAGTTCATGGATGATCACTCTGGACTGTTCTCAGCCATGCAGCATTTCCCCGTCAGGGAAGGGTAGTGACTAAGAGGATGAGGGAAGAGAGGGCTGACTCTTGACAGGCCATACCCTTACTATGGGGTGACTTAGCTAAGTGCCGTTAATAGAGGAGGCAAGGCAATCAGTGGTGAATGCCTTATGTCATTGGAGTGACACCAAACGACCAAGGAGGATCCTGCAACTCTAGGACCTGAAGCTGCTTGGTGACATTACACCAGAGGCTAGTCATGCTCTTTTAGGACCTTAGCGTTAGGTTCCTGTCTCACTTTGAAAGTTATCTTTCTGGTGCTTTTGATTATAGTTACCAAGTGAGATATCGGTTAAGACGTTGAAGTACGAAACAAACCGTGTTCCCGCATCAGATTCTACTGCACACATTACCCACTGAATCAAAAGATGCATAGACCTGCTGTCCTTGGCTATTTCCTGCTTGGCTGAGTTCAAGTTCCTCATGTCTGGGTCAGTTTTCTGCTTATGTGAGTGGCTGATGTTTTTATCTATATGAGATGGAGGTGTCGGTGTTTGAGTGGTAGCAGGTATTCATGACGTCCTGGGGCATCTGTGCTCCTTGTGGAGATGTCTGCAGAACTTCAATGGCTGTGGTTCTGAACTTCCACAGTAGTGAGCACAGAATAGAATATGTGAAACTGAGCCTGTCCTGAATAGCCTGGAATTTAGTGATTCTTTTTCATGTGAAAAAGACACCAACCAGAGAGATGGCTCAGCCGCTAAGAGCACTGGTTGCTCTTCCAGAGTACATGGATTCAATTCCCAGCATCCACCTAGCAGCTCACAACTGTGTATATGACTCCAGTTCCAGGGGATCTTACACTCTCCATGGACACACATGGAGGCAAAAACACAAATGTACATAAAATAAAAATAGATCATTTTAAAAAAAGACAGCAATCTCTGCAGGACAGTTTGCACTGTGTAGCGGAGGAACGAAGAGGAAGACGCTCAGGTCCTCAGTAAGTAGCAGCTTTGCCAGCATTCACAGGGAGGGCTAGGCATTCCCTAGTCCCCCACCAGTTACATTTAAAAATGTTCAGTTGCCACGCAGTGGTGGCGCACGCCTTTAATCCCAGCACTCGGGAGGCAGAGGCAGGCGGATCTCTGTGAGTTTGAGGCCAGCCTGGTCTACAGAGTGAGTTGTAGGATGACTAGGGCTGTTACACGGAGAAACCCTGTATCTGGGATGGGAAGTTCACTGTCTCTGGAGACTTTGTTGCACAGGGAGGAAACAAAGTATCTGGAAGTAGATGTGGTGAGATCATGTGTGTGACTGTTCTGGAATTTTCTGCCTCCACCAGTGCACAGTCCTGTGAGCTGTGTTTATCCACTCTGTGAGACCCAACCGATGGATTTTCTATGCCAATGTTGCCCCTCCAGGCTCCTCTTTTTTTTTTTTTTTTTAGATTTATTTATTTATTATATATACAACATTCTGCCTCCTTGTATGCCCACATGCCAGAGGAGGGCGCCAGATGTCAGTACAGATGGTTGTGAGCCACCATGTGATTGCTGGGAATTGAACTCAGGACCTCTGGAAGAGCAGCCAGTGCTCTTAACCGCTGAGCCACCTCTCCAGCCCCTCCAGGCTCCTCTTAAATGCTGTATTTACACGCAGCTATGGTTAAGTGCATAGCTTTGGTGGTAACTGAAGACTTGGAAGAAGAATATAAATCAGAGTATCTGAGTTCCCGCCTTCTGACTCCTCACACTTCCTCTATACCTGTATATCAAGATGAAACCAAGGAGACAGGAGAAAAAGCACAAACCAGAAAACAAAACAATCAAATAAACAGAAAAGGCATCTGGAGTCTACTAGATTCTTCTTGTCACACGAACCTCTCAAGGTACATCCTTTGACACATGGGCCATTTTCCCACTGCTGTTTTCATAGCTTGCAACCATGGCTTCCACGGTAGCTGTAGTGCATCCAGAGCCAGGCAGCCTTTGACACCATGTTCCCAGAGGGATACAACCGCTTTGGACTGCAGTGTGTGGTTGTGGATCTTGTGTTACCGCAGTGATCTGTGTACCCGTCAACTGGTAGAATTTCACACCGAGTGAAGGTTCCTTCTGATATCCGCAATCTCTGCTGAGGAATGCATAGGAGGAAGAGTGTGAAATCAGGTGACTTAAGTACCGATTCATCACCTTTTCTGTTGGAGTCATTATGGAAGGCAAATACAATGTGTGCATTTTCTTGGTGACCCGGTACACAGCACTCCAAAGCGAGCTAAAGAGAATGGTTTAAGACTGGATCTTTAAAGCTACTTGTCATGGGCGAGTCCTGCTGATGGTCTGTGGTACCTGCAGTCTTTTAAAGGTTTTTCATACTCGTGGAAAAAATTAAGCAAGTCATTATCCTTATTGAATTTCCAGAGGCCCATAAACATTGGCCTCTCATTGGTGGTTTAGTGGTTTCTTTGGCTGGGTGCGCCAAGAGGAACTGAGAATGGATTTGGAGTCATGCCTGATTTGCAGTGGCTATGGCACCATGTTCCCAGTTTGCCTGATTCTTTGTCTAGTCTTGGCTCTTCCAGCAGCCAGGCTAGGGGTGATGTGCGGTTGAAAGTACGTTAGGGCAAATTCCTTTTCTTAGAAACCTTTTTGAAATTCGTCGCCTCAAGTCTTCAGACGGTCAAATGCAAGGATGACATGCAAGTACTTTCTGCTCCGTGTCCTTACACGGTGACCTGTGGTTTTCATGCCCCATCCAGAAGTACCTAGTCCCTATGAAAACAGTTGGGGCCATCTTCTGTATTTCCGTTTAGACTTTGGATGTTTTAGGGAAAGACCAAAGCTACCCACCATGTCTTGTACATAAACCATATGATCACTGTCGCCAACCATTCTTTCTTCCTTCCCCAGATGGGTCAGAGAGTTTTTGAATGAAGACAACAAAGGCCTCGATGTTCTTGTGGAGTATCTATCCTTTGCACAGTACGCAGTCACGTAAGTAAAACTTAGCTTGCTTGCATAGCAGCTTCGCATGGTCCCAGCAGATGCAGCCCAGGGGTAGAATCACATACCACACCGAAAGCAGACGCCCACTAGCAGAGGAGGGGGGACATTTTAGAGATTGTTTAGCTAAAAATATATCCCGTAAATGGTATTAGAAATGAAACAGGTGAGTTAAAATCACCTTGAAGACCTTCCAGCTGTGCTAGGAATCAAACCCGGGACCTGGCCTTGCTACTGAGCAATATCTACAATGCAAAAGAATGGCTTTCCTGGGGGGGGGGCTTAAGGTCTATTAGTCTATGTGGTAGAAAATTAGAGTGATATATGGTACATTGCTGAATAAATAAAAGAAGTAGCAAAAAAAATGTCCTTTAGCATTTTATTAAATTTTGGTACACTGGTGCTTGAAGCAGGGTTTTGCACAAGCTAAGCCTGTATTCTACCACCAAGCCACACCCCAACCCTGTGTGACAGCTGGGGTGGAGGTCGGTAGTAAAGCGTTTGTTTACCTAGCGTGTGTGAGGCCATGGATTCAGTCCCAGCACTGACTGGGGAAATGCTGTAGATGTGTTTATGTGTGTTTTGGCAAATGAACAGATAAGGATGCAGTTCTAGACACCAACATAGTGGCCCAGGAGGAAGGAACACTTTTATTCTCTTTTAAAAAAAATTGTCTATACATTTGCAGTCTCTGGTTTCCTGCCACATGCAGGGAGAGAACCTGGCACAGGGCAGGAAAAAATTAAGTTGCTTAGCTATGTTACTCCTCGCGGTTCTCCATCTTCATGACTTCTGGAATGGTTTATAACAGGGCTGCAAAGTGTACTTTTGAACGAGACGTTCTCTTTTCAGCGTTTCTCCTTTAATCAGGCAACAGTCCAATCTCCACAGGTCGTCCCACATGTGCAGAGTGAGGCGGAACGATGCTGTGTTTCTAATCAGACAGGGAGCATGCTTCAGCTTCGGTGACATTTGTTTTTCTCTTTGCTGTGGTTGTGTGTGTGTGTGTGTGTGTGAGTGTGAGTTGGGGTGTGTGTGAATGTGTGTGCGTGTGTGTAAGTGGGGTGTGTGTGTGAATGTGCAGGTGAGTGGAGAGTATGGGTGAGTGGGTAAGTGTATGTGTGTGGGGGTGAGTGTGTGTGAATGTATATGTGTGAGTGTGAGAGTGTGTGTAAGTGGGTGAGTGTGAGTGAGTGTGTGTTTTAAGACAGGCTCTCAGGCCGTACACAATGCTAGTTTTAAACTTGTGATAATCCTCCTGCGTCCACTTTCTGAATGCATCCCACTCTGTTTTTTCCAAGGCAGACATATTTAGTTTGATCTTTTGTATGTAGGTGTTTACCTGCATGAATATAGGTGTATGTACTACTTGTTGGCTTAGTGCCCGTGCTGTGGTAGCCAGGAAAGGGCATTGATCCTTTGGAACTGGTGCTACAGAGAGTTGTGAGCCGCACTGTGGATACTAGGCACCAAAGTAAGGTCCTTTCTAAGAGCATCAGGCTCTCTTAAACCCTGAGCCCTCTCTCCACCTTTGCCATTCTTCTTTTTAACAGTAACTACTTGCTTTTGTTTTCTCACTCTGAAGAGTCTGAATGTGCAGCTGGATAGTTTTCTCTAGTCTCTATCCCTTCACCCAGTACTTATGTAGAGGAAACTACAATTATTCTTGCCTTACAGATTTGTGTATAGTAACCAAATCTGGTATGATGGTTCTATTTTGATACCTCTCATATACTAGAAGAAATTGTTTTCTGAAATATAATTCATAGTGTTTATGTCGTGTTCCATCACAAGAATATTTCTTACCTATTTCTGTTACTTCAGGTCAGCCAATCCCATAATGCATCATATATTATGACAAAAAGATTATTCCCTCTTGCAAATTTTAAAATCTATAGACATATTTATAATATTTGAGGAAGACTAAGAAAAATCAGGACCAATGAAAAAGAGAAATAATATAATTGTTTACTATGTATAATAAATTCTTTACTTACTTGACAGTAAGGCTTAGAAGCCAGATTTCTCAAATATGGCCTCCTGTCAGCCCAGTGGAGGCAAGCCATGGATACTTTGCAGGAATTCTGCAGGCTACAGTGTAAGGCAAGAACCAACTAAACACCTCGACTCAGAGTTGGTGTTCCCCGTTCATGAATCTTTAGGTTTACTTGGGGGCATTAGCTTTAAACACTTTGTTTGTTGTTTTTGTTTTTATTTTGCTGTATCTGGATGATAAGTTATATAATTTATCTTTTATTTTGAAAACGTTTACTATACCCCGGCACTAGTAATTCTCCAGCGCATGGAATGTAATATAACAGGTTCTGGATCTGTCTGAAATAGAAGCACCCACCAGTTTGCTAAAGTTTGTGTTTCTTGTGCTTTGGTCCTGTGCACATGGGAAGGAGTAAGACGAACGAACGTGTGACGTGAGCTTTTGGTGAACGGCTTGTGGCATGTCCATACCATGAATGTTCTTCCTATGTCCCTCGAAGTCCCTTCCATGTCGATGAGAACCTTTTGTTTTAGTACTTCAGGCTTTCTTGGACTGCTCCATTCTGCCCCTCTCCTCCTCAGCATTGCTCCTGCATCCAAGGGCGTGACAGGAAAGTCTGTCATCAACCCCTGTGCAGACTCTGTGTGCCTATCCCTGCTAGGCATTTAACCGGAAGAGTAAGAGAATATTCCCTAGTTTTTAGGTGGCCATTCCGGTGTTTTTGTTTTCCCCCCTCTGGCAGTCATGCTATATAAGCATCTGGAGATGATTTCCAACTTGCATTATTTTTTTTTTCAAGATCTTTTATAGTCTTTCAGAGAATATTAACCATAGCTGCCGTCTCATTTTGTCCTGCTGTCTGATCAGGCAGAACTAGGGGTAGGAACACTGCAGTATTCTTACGAGAAAGCGGAGTAACACACTGCGTGAGTAAGGAAGTGAGTGGGATACAAAGGCCTGCTTGTTTAGAGACTCGGTTCCTAAGGCTACACGGGAATGAGCAGCTCAACTTGCCACTTATTCCAACATGGTTAACATGAGTAATAGCCTCAAAAAAATGTCAGAGGAACAACAGCCTTACTTTAAAGAGCACCACATCGGGGAGAGAGTCCAAAATCAAAGCGAATCCATAGCCTCGCTAGTAATGCATCACACATGGCTGGAAAAGTATTTGCCAACACACTAGGAGAAAACGCTCAGTGAGAAATATCGATGGATAGGAATGAATTAGTATAAGCCCAACATTCCGATTTGTTCAAGCAAAATGAAGACAGTTGTATGATCTCCTTCCTCCTCCCAGCATAGCAGTGGTAGTGATTGGTCAGCCACCAAGTAAGATGCAGCAATGTACAGTGACCCGGTTTTAACTGTTTGTTGTTAACGATTCTTTGGCCAGACCCTGTGTTTGTAATCCTCATGTTTTTCAAACTAACACCAGGACCGGACCCCAGAGATTCTTTTGCATTTCCTTCGGCTGCAAAGACTTCTCGCATTGTGGCGAAGAAGAGGTTAAGGAATAGCAGGTCACGAATGTCCACGTGTGTGTCTGAGAGTTAGTTTCTAAGTTTTGAGTAGCATTCCTTTTTTGTTTTAGTTTTGACTTTGAAAGTGTGGAAAGTACCGTGGAGAGTACGGTGGACAAATCAAAGCCCTGGAGTAGGTCCATCGAGGACCTGCACAGAGGGAACAACCTGCCCTCCCCTGTGGGCAACAGTGTGTCCCGCTCTGGAAGACATTCTGCACTTCGGTAAGTGCCTTAACGAGAGAGATGCTTTGGCAGTGCAGGCTCCTCCCTGCCTCTTCTCGTCCTGGGTGGACATCGTTGTGTCTTTCCGCATGCACCTTTCTTCTCCAGTGAATGTAACTAACATTTCATAGGTGTTCATGGTCTGTTTCCTTGGCTAGTACTCTAGAGCTTTACATAACACGTCTTAGAAAGACCACGTTGTGATTCAGCAGAGAAGGTGAGATGCTTGGACCAAGTGACAGTGAAATAGTCTCTAGCAGGTAAGTTCTTAACCTGGATGCATGTTGGTGCAGTGACCTCATTCAAGACCATGTGCAGGGTAGAGGCTGTACTTTATCATGTAAGCATCGAAGGAGCCCTGTAACTCCGTATCTATCTGTGCTGCCTGGTTCCTCCATGGGTAGCTCAGGTGTGTGTCTGTGCAGGGTGTGCCCCTACTCAGAGGTCACAGGATTAGAGAGATACATTTTTATAATGAAGTGCCACCAGGCACGCTCCTTTGACTAGGCATGCTTCCTGTCAGCTTGACATTTTCTACTAATCATCTTACAGTGCCTGCTGGAGTGCCAGGATGCTCTCGGAGGGTCTTCACTAACCACCTGCATCCCTGATGGATGGAATCTCAGTCCGTTCATTCAGGCCGACCTACAATTACTCACTGAGTGGAGAACTAGCTTTGATCATTTTCAAAGCACTGTACTTAGAGTTGACTGATAAGGAAGTTACCCCTTCCGCTAATAAAGATAGAAGTCTTGTCTAAATGAAATTGAAGTTTTCGCAGATTCATGACCCGAGTACAGACTTCTGTGGTTGAAATCTTCATTCCCGAGTCCTGCTTGATTTCTGTAGCTTACTAAAACCTTCTCATGTGTTTCTGACATGACCTGCGGGGTGGTGTCATCTAAGTGTTTCAGATCACCATGGGTTTTAGATCACAGAGTGCGCGTGTCAGGTTGGAACCCGTGGGTCTGTGGTTTCCAGGCAGTGCACATTTGATTGCCTATTTATTACCTTTTGTTCCTTCAACTTGGGTTTTAAAAGTCATTGAATGTTTAAGAGAATCTTCTTCTCTGCAATGAAGATAATCAGTCTGCTGAAGGATTTGATGTTTGACTATGATGTTGCCAATAAACCATTCAGATTTTGCTTGTTAGCAAACAACAAAAAATGTTGGTGGACTTCTGACGAATCGATTCAGAAATAATAAGGAACAGTGTTGCAGTTCACTTCACGGAGTTTGCAGTGGGCCTGTGGCTAAATAACCTGCTAGTGTGTGTCAGCTTCACATGTGGGCAGAGGAATATACGTACTTAGTAGCTCAAATTCTGTAAGCATTGATACTTAGAAATGCCTTCTACTATTTGACTATAATTACATATAAGGGTTTTATTTTATACAGTACAGTTTAATTTGGTTTTTAATGTTTGGTTTTGTAAAAGGGATATACTGGTCAGCTGTCACTTTAACACAGATTCATTTTTTTTTCAGTAATTCATTGCTTGCTCTGAACCTTAGTAGACAGGGTCCAAGGACATCAAAACTACACTGAACTGCTTCATAAGTGGCTCAAGGTAGATCTTGCCTGGCTACATTGTTAGTTAGAAAGCTACACTAAAAGTATCATGGTAGGCATAATGGGAGTGTTATTTGGAGAGACATGGGAGCCCTTTGACCTTTCTGGTGGGCATGTTCAAGATGACTAGGAAACTACTGTCATGTTTTTCCATTTTGTGTGTCAACAGTTCGAAAGCCCAAGGAAGGGGACACTTGAATGTCATTAGAGAATCAGCATGGTGGTGGCTTGCATGCCGCTTTGATTTGATTTGAATCTTATTATTTATTCATTCATAATTATTGGATCTAAACAATTTATATCAATAGTTGTTTAGCTTTTGTGATTTAGCAGCAGCCGGGGCACAGCTGTCTGGTTCTTGTTACTTTTCATATGCCCAAGGATTGTTTACATTTTTTTCTCTCTTCCTCTGCTGTCAACAGCCCTTCAACTTCTGGTTTTTATTTTCTCATGCTGCCACCTCACTTCTGATCGTCTTCTCTGCTTTGTCCTTTCTTGTCCCTCTGTCCCTTGTTCCGGCTTTATTCATTTCTTACATCACCGCCAGACTGGCCTCTCTGGCTAGGTCTCTTCAGCTCCATTGCCACCCGAGCTGCTGCTTCTTCTGCTGCTCTGGAGCAGGTTCAGTTTACACACTGATGATGAGCTTCCAATGGGAACATCTTGTAAGTCACTGGAGAAAGCACCCAGGAGATCTGGTAGCACATGGTGGCCTGGTCTCATGATCATTCTCCATGTTATGATATGGTGGCCTCTGTGTCACCCGCTACCTTGTATACTCTGATGTGTTGCCTCATCTTAAGAACCAGATTCTCTACAGTAGGGTGCATTATTATTAATATTAAAACTCTTCTGAAAGTATTGTTGGTTTTCTGGTTGTTTTGCTTAGTGAATAAGTATCTTTATAGCAAACACAGACTTGTTTCCTCTGCCTCAGCTACAGATAATACCATAGATATGTACTCTTTCAAGTTCCCTTGCCAAAAAGTATAGGTGAAACTTGGAGAAAATGAGATTTCAGGAAATTCTAACACATTTTATAAATACAGTTTGATGAAAGAAACGCTGTGTTATTAAATACAAGGACTTTGAGCAAAGCCCCGACACTAACACAGTTTCTTTCTTGAATCCCAACCTGATATTTCTAAACCACTTCGTATTGACTGGCAAGCACGCCTGGCGCAGCACATGCCCTGAATTAGACCTTTGGCTGCGTTCTGAAGCTTGTCCATGGGAGAAGTGTTGAGGTCAGTGCAGCAGAAACCTGGCTTGTGCCTTCTCCAGAACCTGTGGTCTGTCTCCAGTGGAGAGGAATTCC